ATTTTTTTCTATAAAAATAAGTTAATATCACAATTATTACTGTGAAGACAAATATCACAATAAACTGAGTCTCAGTAATCACTCAATGATTAGATAATCTAATCGTTTGCGTGAATTATAGCAATACTATTGACCAAACCGTTTGGAAGCGACTCTTGTTGTGGTGTAGTCTCAGCCGTCTTGTTAACAGCCGATGACCTCTTGGAGTCACCGATGGACGAGCGGGGCGTTTGGCCGGTGGTCTCCTCTTCAGTCTTATGCTTATTGATAGCCACCTGAGCCTGATATACGACAATCGCTAAGAAAACGATACCGACTAACAGTATGATTACACCGATGCTGGCGATCGATATGGTTATGATAGGAGTGTCCCTCTCCTTGTCGTCGTTGAATATGAATTTGCACATCAGTCCGAACACAATGATTGCACTGCCGATGAGCGAGAAGAACCTTCCGATGTGATACCACTTATGGTTAGACAGTTGTCTCTTATCCTTCTCGTATCGGCTCTGCGAGCGTGTGATGAAAAAGTTTCGGTTCGCCTTTTTTCGTGTATTCATATTCATGTCTGATGTCTGGAACCGATTCTCTCGCCCAATAATTGTGACAAAATGTCCGCAAAATATATGAAATATTTATGATTGCATTTCTTTCTCAACATTAATTCAATGGTAGAGATGTAGAAAAGTGTTAACAACTATTGATAGGCTTAAACGTACAATAATTAGATAATTGCTATAACTGTAACTCAGGTAACCTTAACAGTAATGTTAAATCAAAAATATATGCAAAAATTAATAGATATTTGTCCACTAAATCACTTTCCAATTGAAAACACATACTGTATTAAATCTCACAATATTTGCAATAAATTTTACAATATTTTGTTTTATTTGATCGAAAAAATAAGAGTATTTAAAAGTATTTAATTACATCAAAATGAGAGTTACGGCACATTAACGTAGGCTTTGATGTCACGCAGACATCGAGACTTATTTGCAATGGTTTTTACCTGACATTCCGTTCAACAAATACTGCATTATTTTAATGCCAATAATGATCATTATATTCAGCACTTTGTTTGGCACTGAAATTATAACAGAATTCGTTTAAACACTTTTGTTTTCGTGTGTAAAATATGTGTTTCGCTAATAAATTATAAACTTATTTATTAAACTTTTTATAATTAAAACATAATTTCATATATAGTTTTTCGACGACAGATATATATATACAGACAAAATATATTTATATTTACGTATATATTTATATCACAGACTAAAACATTCCGTCTTTGATACCAATGGGTATTAAAAAAAGCAAAAATATGACAATATTTCTGGTGGTGTAGCGCCAGTCAGACGGTATGGCGTATTTCACCATCTTATGTGTCAATTCGTGAATCTCGTGAGCGATGCAAATGAATATGAATGACGTGATCACGACGTTCAGCACCGGATAGCTCGGCACCAGCACTAGTATGCCGTGAGTATCCGCGCCCAACCATATGTGATACTGGCATATGAATAGCTGTCAACGAATCATATTTCAAACAAATAATAGTATCAAATGTGTGCTTAAAATTAGACTTTAAAATTAAAAACAAAGTTATTTGTTTACTTCGAGAGATATTTTGCCGATTCTGGCAAAGAAAGTGCTGTGTCTGACCCGCAAGAGGCCCGATATGTTACGTAACACTATGTATGACACGATCTATTCGTATATAAAATGTTTATAATTAGTGTTTTATACAATTAACTGAACAATAGAGTAGATTCTAATCATAATTACCGGTATAAATGAGATATAGGGATGAATTTCATTGCATTCGGGTTTATTACGACAAATCATTGTAAACACGACATACATCTGAAATCCAATATTAAATGTTTTATTTATAAAATCAAATGCAAAACAATAATACCATTATTCCCGCAAACGAAGCAAACGCCACAATAAAGCCGAGACCTCTCGAGAAGAGGTATCCGTGATTGCGGTCATCGATTATGTGATGCTTTTTGAGTAAATGATATCCAAACGCGAATAGCATACCGGCCGGAACGCTCTGGAGGGCAGAGGGTATAAATGCAATCATTATATACTCTGTTGTTCAACAATTCAAACACAATTCGTACATATCTATCGATTTTCCATCGAAACCACCACTCCTTAAGGGAATCATCTGTAGTGACAAACAATGCTTTCCACGGACGGGTCAGAAAGATCTTCTCGAAGAACACTTCAGACATATATAAGATTGTTATGATACTAAAGAGTACCACAAATTTTAACACTATATATAAGTATTGAATGGGATTTGCTGTCGGAATAACGAGAAAATCAATTAAAATCCATTTAATAATACTCTTCAATGACACAAACCATCGGCAGTGACGGCAGTCACGTGAGGAATGGCGTAAAACGTGGCGTAAATAATTAGATACCAAAACGACACGAGTGGCACAAAGTAGTAGAACTGATACGGCCTGTTCATACATAGGCAAAGACACACCACCAATAGATTGATCCGGAATATCACCTAAATATCAAGTTTTTCATTTTAATGCAAATGCAATCAACAGTGTTTTCAAAATGATGGCAAACCTTCCACAAGCGGTGGAAACTAACGTCTCCCGTCTGCCAGAAGTACGTGAAGTGTCCAAAACCGCTGAGGAATAGATATGTGGTGACCAATAGACGGATATGCATATAGATTGTCAATACTTGAGACGCGCCCGTATAGTGATATGCTATTCAACAACAAAATCACAGGAATATAATATTTTTGATGTATTGTAAAACTGCAAAACAAACCCAAAATAATCATTTGCATCCAACCCTTAAGTTCATCGGTTTGGTCGCGATGTAAGACAATTGTATGCGAAGACTCTTCCGTAAAGAAGAGGCCCAAAGCGAACACATAAGCGATGGGAAGGAAAAAGTTGGGTCGAGTGAAGTACTTATTCTCTTTCATAAAGAAATTAGTTCTGTCGCAGAGGAAGAAGTAAAACATAATTAACGACATTTTGGCCAAACATGTTATCAACTCGTAG